GGTCAGATGTCAGCAATGACTGGAAGCTTTAGTACACACTGAAAGTGATGAGTCCAATTTTTATCAGAAGCAGTCCGTACAGAATCGTGCTTTTTGGTTGTCCATGACTGTCGAGAGCCCTCTACGTCTGTTAGAGAGGCCTCATGTGGAGTAAAGCTGTACAGTGCAGGGCTGGTGGGCAGAGGTCAGGGCTGGAAAGGACCCATATGTTTTATTAGTGTCTGTCGGGGTGTGAGGTATGGAAAACATTCAGCTCCTGGATTGAGTCCACCTTTGTGCAAACAGGCTATTTAGTTACACCATCATGCTCATACAGGTGTCCAGCACACAAGGACTTACAAGACAGAAAATATGAAATTGCAGACATGCATGACTCCTGTAACACAGCTCAAGTTTCTTAATAAAGTAAGAACATTTTACAAAACAGTCTGTAGCACCGTTAGTCTTAACTTTTAGGTTAAAGAGACACTCACATCGCTCTGGGTCTGATAGGAGTTGCACTACAGGAGTGGGTGTTGGTGTTTGAACAGGTGATACTTTAATATCAATACAAAACAATTAATAAACATCAACAACTTTGGTGAGCTTTATTCACCAAAATGAGGCGCTGCAGAATAAAAAAATAAATAAAAAAAAAAGAAGAGTCCAACTCGATTTCCTGGTAAGTTCAATTCAAGGAAAAGGATCCAATGTGTTCAGTGTATCAATGTCAATTCAGTTTCTTTGTCCTCAAAGCCTTTAACTACTAGCTGGGTAGGTGAGGAGTGTGTGTCTGATCTGTTCTCAAAGTGTGAGGTTCAGATGATCTGGGTCGTCAAGGTCGGTTCTGCAGCTGGCCACACTGCTTCTCCAACTCTCTCTCTTCCTCAGAATTGCTGGGCTGGGCTCGCCATCTTCATCGTCTCTCTGTGTTATTGGACTGTAGTTCTGACTGGCAAAAAAAAAAAAAAAAACCCCAACAACCTACACAGAAAGTGCATCGTTGTAAGGAACTTCATCTGATTCTGTCTCAGTTTCTTATGAGAGCTCATCATTTTCTCACTTCAAAGCATAAAACATGAATTAAAACTAATAGTTTTAACCATAAATGTAATCAACTATTCATGATTTATCACAACAAAAACATTATTTTTAACACACATCACATACGCATCTTTTTTTACAACCAAACAGGGAGTAACAATGAAACTTAAATCTAAAAATAATGGTGCCATGTGCTCTTTCAAACTGTAAGCATTTCTGTAATAGTTTTTGGGGAGAATTTTACTTAAAAATGTGACTTAGAATGCAGTTTAGTTGTACAACACTGTAGATTGTATTTGAGAGAGTTGGCTGATTAGATCGTATATACTTTATTGTAGTTTGTACCAAACATCCACACCAGACCACATTAACCGGTGAGCTGTATAAATAAAGAAGAGAAAATCTGAATTTAAATCCACTAATCCAAGGGTGTCCATGCAAAAAGTAAAAAATCTCTAGTTAGTCAATGTTCAGGCTTATGTGTCGAATCCCCACTAATAGCCAAAATAATCAAATTCATTTATTCACTGTGATCTTTGGTGGATAAATCCAAGTTTATCTACCCCCAACAAACTAATCAAACTTGTCCATGATGAGGAAACTGTTGAAGTGCTTATCTGGCTTATCATTAGTGTCATTGTGCTAAAAATCTTTTGTGCTGCTGCTTTAAATCCACTCTGACCTCTACATTTCTTCAAAAAGTGGCCATTTTTCAGGACACCGCTGCAGGAGGAGTCCGTGCCGATCTTTTGGAGGTCATCAGTGGCACTCGTACTTTCTTTCTCTTCTTGCTCGGGCTGCTTTCTTGTTTCTTGCCATGAACTCTGTTACACCTCATTACCCCTCCTTCTCCCTGCTGAGGTTTGTCCTCGTCAATAGAGCAGGAGAGGGGTAGAGGGCGTCAGTGCATGGGGAGTAATTTGAATATGTGATAGACACACCTAGCTGGAAACATGTTGTCTGTCTGACTAAAATAGAAGACTTCACATAGTCAGGGTCTTAGGAGGCAAATGTTTTGACAGGCGACGCTTATTATCTACAAATTAGGGAGCACTTTGAAGGGAGACAAGGAATAAAATGAACCGCTGAACGTGTCCTGTTGATGTTTAGGTTGGGTTTCCTTTACTTTTGTGCTGGTATTGTTTGTGAGCCTGTGTATTCGGTAGAGGTGGTGGTGCCAAGTTAAAGACTATAAACACAGTCATTGCTTTCTCTAATGACAAGATTAAGGGTGGAGTCAAAAGTGCGGCTAAATAGGCAAGGACATCCACCGATCAGTCACAACAGTAAAAAACAGCTGCCTAGCATTGTGTATTTACCCCTTGTCCTGCCGAAACAAGTCTGACCCATCGAGGTCTTGACTCTACAAACCTCCGAAGGTCTCCTGCAGTATCAGGTACCGTCCTTTGTGTCCTGGAAGTTGTGAAGTATGGCCTCCATGGATCGGACTTGTTGCTCAATCAGGTTGTGATCTGGAATGTGGAAGCCGAGTCAGCACCTTGAACTCTTTGTCATGTTGGGTGTTTGGTAGTGTGGCAGTGAGCATGATCCTGTTAAAAGAGGCCATCAGGGAATACTGCTGCCATGAAAGGGTGTACACTGGTCTGCAACAGTATTTAGATAGGTGCTACATCCACATCAGTGCATTACACAAGCTTTACCTGCAGAACATTGCTCAGAGCATCAAACTGCTTCCTTTCCATACTACTTCTTGCTGTATCTCCTCCAGCTGTTTAGCGGCACACAGATGTCCACATGATGGAAAAGAAAATGTGATTTATCAGACCAGGAGACCTTCCATTGCTCCAAGTTCCAGTCCTGACACTGAGGTCTTCACTGTAGGAGCTTGTGGTGGTGGACAGGGGTCCAGTCTGACTATTCTGCAGCTATACTAACCCGTACACAGCCAGCTGTAATACTCTGAGGGTTCCAACACCTTTCACGTTTCACGCAGTTTGTGCAGCAGTAGCTCTTTTGTGGAATCGGACCACACCAGCCTTCACTTCCAGGATGCATCAATGAGCCTTGAGCAGTCATGAACCTGTCAACGGTTCAACGGCTGTCCTTCCTTTGAGCACTTTTGAAAACCACTGGATACAGAGAACACCCAACAAGGCCTGTTGTTGTGGAGATGCTCCGTCCCAGTCGTTTAGCCAGCACAGTTTGTCAAAGTCACTCAGATCTTCACACTGCCAATTCTTCCTGCTTCCAACACATCAGCTTCAAGAACTGACAGTTCACACCCACTGACAGGAGCCACTGTGATGACATAGTCCATATGTGTTGTGGCTGATCAGCGTATGTGTGCTTCAGTGGACAGTGAGCCAGTGCAAAGTTAATGGCTTGGCTTTGGTGGTGGTTTTTGAGGGTCCAGTGGTTCTAAGTCGGTCAGAGTTAGAAAACATTTGAAAAAACCAGTAAAAGATGAAAGTAGAAAAAGTTAATGCAAATAAGCAACACTAAACTCTCATGTTGCCTTTACTGTTAGTGCAGGATGTGAAAAAAGAGGTTAAAAAAAAGACTTGCAAGACAAATAATTTTTGGATTTACTTTCTTTGACTTAACATTTAACTTCCCTGTTTATATCATATCATGCTACTGCCGGTGTCGCTTCTGTGGTCGACCACGTTTCGGATCGGGTCTAATAATCAGATCGTGTCTGACTGTCTCCCTAAAAACTGGTCTAATTTATGCCCTATTCATTCCCGTGGGTTATAGAGCAGACATGCTTCAGATCAGGTCCTTGATCTGGGACTCAAAGAGACTTTGGCTTTGCTAAGCTTGGCCACACACACTGCTGTGATTGCTGTTTGTAAGTATTACAGATGTTAATCTCTTTTAGAAAAGCTCCAGCGTTGTTGTAAATGATTCTTTAGTTCATTCTCCTTAAACAAACAACGGCCTACAGACGGAGAGCTCAAAATCAGGTTTTTAAATAGGTCAGAAAATTGAGTTTCTGTGATGTTTCCCATTGAAAAATATTTCCTCATAATTACTAATTAATCTAGGCAGAACACACTTTCTCTCTGAAGGTTTTTGCTGTTGCAAAATCGTACCAATGTCTTCTCCCTATATATTTTTGAGAAGACAAAGAATAGGAAACATAATTTCATTCACCTCGTTGGGAAACCCTTATCAAGAAGCTCTAAATCCCAGATGAGAGTCCTCATCATTCCTTATTTCTGCTTTCTGTTTAGGCAAAACAATAATACAGAACATTTATTCATTCTTGAAGCTCAGAATCTTTCTGTTTTCCCTCCACTGTTAACATGTTTGTACTCTTCTAGTGTCATCATGTACCTCAGTGACCTCTGGAACTCTTGCCTGTAGTAGTACTTCCTCTGCTTATTCAAACCTAATTTCCAGAAAATACAAATACAACTATTGAACAGGTCTACAGAAGTGTTCATATGTGTGATCTGAATGATGGCATTTATCTGCCCCTCTTTACCTTGTTTCCTATCCTCTGTACTGTATCATCCTTTATTTCTTCGCCTTGTTAGAGAAGATTCTCTTTTCTGTTCGTTTGTAAAGACGAAACAAATTCAGCGCGGTCTCAATTAATCAATTTAATCACACACTGAATATGACATTACAGAGCTCCGGGTCAAACTCTCCCGAGCATCAGACAGAGTGAGACTAAGACCTTTTCCTCAGACCCGTGTCTTATACTATTCAGTCACATGACAGGTTACACAATATGTCACACAAGCTGTTTCACATCTTCCTCTGATCTGTCCATTTGTTTGTTTGTTCCTTCATTCCTTTGATCCTTTGTTTCTTCGCTGGAATGTACGCCCCTTTATACAGCCTGTCTTCCCCACATCCAAAGCTCATCCTGGTTATCGATTATCAGGTTATTGGCAGTCACACACTCATTTGTTTCCCTGTCCTGCAGAACAGCATAACTTACAAGCACATGACTCTTTAAGAATCAACATGATAATGGGTAACATATAATGAATAAACCCTCAAGATTAATTATTCTTATTCTTTAAACTTAAATGATTGTATATGTTTTGAGTAATATATCATTTACACAACAGCCTACTAATGTGCCATCCCACTTATCCTCTGTTCTTCTGCAGTGCTTCTTCTCGTCTTCACTTTCATCTTTCCTCCCAGTAAGAAAGTCCAGCACACATGTTGTAGCTGTAATGTTATGTTCTCCGACTCCCCACTGCTCTGCAACGATGTTCTTATTGTCCAAATCCATAGAAACAGGCCATTCATCGTTTAATGCTCCCCCACTCGGCCCAGTCCTCCACAAAAGACTGACAGAGGGGCTTATGGGTATTTATCATGCCTAGCAGGATGGCTGGGTAATCACTTGCAACCACAGTGCAATCTATCATTTTAATACATGGCTCTTTCCAAGTAGTACAACGTTATCTCCTCTTCGCCATGTTTCCTTTTATCTTGGCCTTCTCTTTGCTTTTGGGGTAGCTGTAGAGGTTAATAATGTCCTCATTGTTTGTGGATGAGATAACACGACTTAATAATGCCAGAGGCACGGGGGAGTTGTAAAATTCCTTTTCGTCATTGTAACTTTATGAACTGTGTTTATGCAGTTTAATTTACTTGCCAAAAGCTAAGCTACGGGGTCACTGTGAAGTCGTGACACTATACAAACAGACGTATATGTACGCATTTGTCAGTCCTTTTCCCATCATTGTATCTCAACTGTATGTCGCCTCTGTTATACATCACGTGTTCAGACACAGCATCCTTTAAGAACTGAGATCAATTTCTGGGTCACAAGCAGGAGGACAGAGGCTCAGAATAGAAAAATGAAATGAGCCTTAAGTGTCAACACATTCTGTCAACTGAAGAGGCTCAAGCGCAACGCAACAGAGACATAACAAAACCACAGTATATATATCACAATTAATTTATTTGTGGGGCTGCAAGGTGGTGCAGTTGGTTAGCACTGTTGCCTCGCAGCAAGAAGGTCGCCGGTTCACGTCTCAGTGGGGGCACCGGGATCTTTCTGCGTGGAGTCTCCATGTTCTCCCCGTGCAGCGTGGGTTCTCTCCGGGTTCTCCAGCTTCCTCCCACACAGTCTAAAAACATGTTGAGGTTAATTGGTGATTCTAAATTGTCCGTAGGTGTGAATGTGAGTGTGCTTGGTTGTCTGTCTCTGAGTGTAGCCCTAAACTGCCCAGCTGATGTTCATGAAACTTTGTGCAGAGGTGGAGCGTGGGTACAGGAATAACCTGCTTTTCATTTAGGGTTGATAGCAGCATCGTTTCACATTTTCTGTGATGTTCTTGGGTATCGCCTGTTGTCTTCCCACTTTTATGACATAATATAATGTAATATTAATCGCTGGACTTAGTGAGGACATTAAAAAAAAAAAGACCCTGTGTGAAGACTGAGGTCAAAGTTCAATGCAATTCCAAAATCATCAGCTCCGTGAACAGAATCTAAGGGACTGACTGAATATTTTATTCGATGCCCTCTTGACTTAACTGATGCACAGTTGCACAGATTCTTTTTTTTAGTACTTCAGGACAGGACTCTGTTTACCATTAAGGGCACTGAAATCATGTCAGGTCAGCTGTAGGCAAACAGCCAAATCCAGCCCTTACAGCAAGAATATTTGGCCGCCTGACAGAAGTTGAAATTTTGACTTTCTCACATGCAAAACTTTTGTTTTCACAAATCTGCTGCAGATTTTAACGTAAATGGATGTAAATCCCAATAAATGTGACCTTTTAAAATCTAGTACCACCCACTCTCCAGTCAGTGTTGTAGTGCAGAAAGTACATTGAAATTAATATATTTTTTACAATTTTTTGGCAACATGTGCTGCAGCGATCATGTACTGATGGTTAACTTACACACAGTTTAACCTAACCGCCGACGCCTGTCCTACTGAAGTCATATTTCTGGAAATTGAATTAGGATGGCTGCTTGATTCCATGATCTTTACATTTAGACTATCACTTTGAGAAATAACATTTACAGAAAATTAACAGAAATTAAAAAAAATGTTGATAGTCAAGGTACAAATATAGATTTTTTTTTCTAATATAGTCCAAATAATAGCAGCAGAAACAGCATAAGATGTGTTTTAAATAGCTGTACATGGTACTCATGTTCTCAAGTGTGACAGAACAATGAATCTAACTGACAAAATAAAACTGCTTCAGTGTTCGATTTTTGGCTAAAACAGGTAAACAATTGCAGACATCAGCCACTTCTGCTTCTGTATGTAGACACCTGTTTTTCAGAGAATCATTCCTTCATAGAAGTGTCTAGACAGAAAGCTCTAATAAGCATAAAGGCAAGTGGAAGCCTACGAGGAGCGCTCCGTGTGAAAAATGTCAGGTACCAGTCATCACCTGGCAGCAGGAGGCACATCGAGCTCTAAACAGCAGGGAGAAGGAAACTGGAGAGATTTGTGAGGAAACACAATCTGAGAGTGGGATATAGATCAAAACAACTATCAGAAGCCAAGACGGCGCTGGAGTGGCTCAGGATCAAACTGCAGAGCGTCTTTCATGGGTCCAGCCGAAGCTGTGGAGAGACCTCGAGACAGAGTGTTAGAGAGCCTGTAAGCAGCAGCAATAGAAAATGTTCAAATTCTGGGTTGAAAAGCTGCCAGGGGTGCTTCTGCATAACACCGAATAAACAGCCTTTAACACAATACAACAAAAGCGAAGATGACTTACTTTCAAAGTTAGCGGTTGGTGTGTATGCTGTACATACCAGCCCATCGCTATGACAACAGACACTGAACTTTAAATTGGATCTGCATGGGGTGTTTAAATTGTACGAATGCAGAGGTAAATCAGAGAGAAGCGCAGAGAGGAGGCTGAGAGATTAGAGGGTTTATCGCGTCTTCGGGGAGTCGAGATGAGTCATCCTTTATTGGCAAACAAAGCTGCGAGTTAATAAGGGAAAGGGCGAGACACGAGAGCCAGGTTCCAGAGAGAAGGAAAGCTGCCGTGCCTCCTCGTCCTCGGTCAGCAGCTGCAGGCTGATCAGTCAGACAGAAAGTTGACCATCGTGTTTTTGAGAAGTCAGGCAAAACTTTTTACAGCTGCAATGACTGAGAAGCAATGTGTGATCTGCTTTTTTTCTTTTTGACAAATCGTGTTCTTTTATCCAATGCAAACAAAGTTTTTCAACTCTTTGACATGTGCTGGTTGTTGACTGTAATGTGATGTTGGAGGAATCCTCACAGCAGCAGGTACAGCATACCTCCAGCCACTTCAGTGCAGAACCATCAGAGGACAAGAAACAGCAGCATAGTTTCAAGGTGAAACTCTACAGGGGGATTTAAATAAGAACTTTGAAATTGATTGGATTGAAAACAAAAGTCAGGCCTTGCTTCAAACATACTGATATGAAACTGTCTGAGGAGGAGGAGGTGAAGTGAATGAAAAAGACCTCAATCACATTCTTCTGAGACACTCCACCCACTTATTACCAATAACAGAACTGGGTAGTTATGGCTCCGCATAATCAGATTACAAGATAGGTATTTACAATCAGATTACAGTCGAAAAAATGTGTATTTAGATTAGATTAAAATTGCCCAGGATTACTTGATTACATTTTAATTCTGTCTTTTTTGTTTGTTTGTTTGTTTTTTTAAGAAAAAAGGAAACTTGTCATTATATGGCATTAAAGTAACTCACTGCTGTCAGGTGACTTCACTAATATCTGTTTTAGTTTTCTTGTGATGATGATTTATGGAGTATGATTTTTTGTTTGTTTGTTGAAAAAATGTACAGTCGACGTTTTGAGCAGTTGCCCTTTTGTGCTGCAAGAAAGTCTGAAGAAAACAACAGCAGTAAAAACTTCCCCTGTACTTTGCTCCAGTATTGTTTTTGATTTGACTAACTAAATGCTAAATATGCAAAATGCATTTTATTAGCATCAAAAATTTTAGATGCCTAAAGAGACAGAATAGTTGTCGAAGTTGAACTTCTGAGCTGAGTCTTCATCGAAGCAGAATTTACTGCAAATTAGTCTGACTTAATTGTCCACAACTGAGCAACTGTGTTGGATTTTCTTTCCCAACAGCTCAAACAGGTGTTGCACATTTAACCTAGGCTTTGAAAAGTATCCTCAGGTACCCTAAATAACCTGGTCACTTAGTGGACCAAATCATGACAGACCAGAAAAAAAGAAGAAAAAAAAAACAAAACTCAACCCAGGTAAAGTAAAGAGTGATGCCCAGGATTCAGCCCAAGTACACTGGTCCAGTCCAGGGGCCTGCACTACGAAGCCAGATCAACATACCCAGGATATGTTTCAGAGATCCGGCTTGACTAACACTAACAATCACACTCAGGATAACTGGTCCTACGACGGTGGTTATCAAGTCGGTAAGTCAACCCAGGGTTGTCTGATCTGAATATGAGCGCGTGCACATAAAATGGGCGGAGTTATCGGCATCTGACCAATCATGACTGTGGACAAGTCTGGCTGCAGAGCCACTTGCTTTACCGCCAAGGAGCAGAATGTAATCTGTACAAAATATGAAGAATCATATAAAAACATCATAGGAGGAAAAAGCAGCAGCGTTGCAGCGACCAAAGCCAGGAAGGAATGCTGGCAGAAAACTGCTGACTGTGCGAATGAATATGTTCATTAGTTTATAACAAAATATAATATGATCACTGATCCTATCAGATAATCAGTCAGATATCAGTAAGACAATCTGAGGATTCCTTTAACTAATTTGTTGCCTAATGTATACACTTGTGGCATATCTGACATTTTTTTTACTTTTTTTACTGGCGGTGTAAAAAGGACATGGGAACAAATTAAGAACAAACAGAACCATAATTCAAAGCAATATAGGATTATTAACATATCCTGCAAATACAAGCTTTAATGCTGAAGTCAGTTTACTGCTATGGGGTGATATTGGGATGGAAATAATAATGAAATCGCTTTGACATTGCCTGTAGCCAACAGGGGGGAAAAAATGAATGAAGGAAGGCAGGAGCTCAGAAATCCTCGTCAGGGTGTGCTGTTCTGCCGGTTCCGAAAAACCCTCACACTCCTCAGTGATCCCTCACAGTTCAGCTCCGACGTGTAGCGGGTCTTCTATAAATGCCGGTGATGCCATTTTGTTGAGAACTGCTTTGTTTTCTGCTCCTTCTGAAGAATTACAGGAGAGAACTGACTTTCAGTGGGCGGTGTTTTTATTCCTGGTGATCTCAACCTTGAACTTAACTTGCTGTGGAGCAGGTTAGTCGCTGAGCGTAAGTTACCATGGTGATGTACCCTGGTAAGAAGAGAACCACCTTCGTAGGACCGAAAACCCAGGATTTAACCTGAAGTTACCTCGGTAACCCCAAATCCTGCTTCGTAGTACAGGCCCCAGGTGCTGTAACTGAACCAGGTCTGCACCTTGCCCAAATTCAGGTCAGCAGACGTCAGTCCGAATGTGTCTGGTTTTCAGATTCTCAGCCCACCCAAATCCACGCGCCAAGGCCAGAGCCAAATCTGGCAACCGCCCCTGCTGTCAGAATGTGTGCCGACACTTGGTCTCAACCAGCCTGATTCAGCCGGCTGCTTGGGTCCAACCCAACAGGTCTCTAAATATTAAAATATTAAAATAAGAAACAATTGTTTTTAATTCAAAACAATGCTCTGAAACCAAATTGTCCTGAACTGACTGTTCCCAAAGCCAGCAGACAATACAGGGTGTCATGATCGAAACAAAATTAAGTAACCTTAAAAAGATTGCCGAATTATCAATAATCTCTTTAGAATTCAGAGTCTGAATGGATGGTTTTTGTTAAGCAGCAATTAACCCACATGACCTGCATTCCTACCGATACCCTGGTTGAATTTGGAAAATGAAACACAACGCCACACACGCAGCAGCTTTACCACATTAGCAGTCCCATTTGGAATAATTGGCAATAAGCTTTATTTAACCATTGTTTACAACGGCGCTTGGCATTTGAACTTTCCTGCTGTAATGCTCCGTTTTACACATGTGCCGTCATCCATCAGGCGCTGACACTTAAACACTGAACATTATCTCGCTGCAGCAGAGGCCTGGCGTCACAGGACGCCGCTGGCTTCGGGCTCTGTGTTTGTGTGTGCGTCCAGAGGTCACAGGGGTTTGAATCACTCCATTCAGTCCAAGAAACGACCGTTATCGAAGCCTCACAGATGAACGGAGGCACACAAGGAGGGCGAGGAGGAGGGAGGGAGAGAGGGAAATAACAAGGAACGAAAAGGAAAGGAAGAAGAAACAGGATTTGTTTTTGCCTCATGGCTTCACAATATGTTGTAAATGCCAAATCGTTGTCGAAAGTATTTGACTTGCAACGAAAGTTACCCAACTCTCCTCTCTTTTTGAATTACAGGTAATCAATCATCCTGTCGCCCGATCCGCCAGCTCCGTACATACATCCAGGCGCTTCCATCCAAGTGTTCTTTTATTAATTAAATCTGACTTTAATATCTTTACCCAGCTCAGACTCCAGAGGCTGTACATCCCCAAATGGCTCACCATGGGTGAAATTAGACCATCAGCCTAATTTAACAGCCACTGCCGTCGTCATGATTAGAAATTTACTTGGCGATCAGGCCGTGCAGCAGGGATTTCCAACGCTTATAGTCTTTCTTTTTGCAGCAGTGGATGATTTTTTGTATTTTTTTTTGTTAAGGAAAATACAGGGTGACAGTTTCAAGGGGTTAGCGTAGAAATTTTAATTTCTCTATGCATGTTTAATAAGGTGTTTGGTACTCAAAGGGATTGGATACGGCAAAAACTTCATTAAATTCTGGGAGTTGTGGTTCTCCCGTGTTCTGAAAGCACAGGTGGTTAATGTGAATGGAATATTAAATCCGTGACCGTGAGTAGAAAGGTCTCTGAAGCATCTGGATATCAACTGAGGTGCATTTAAAGGAAAACGAAAGGCTTTAAAGCACTTGAGGTAAAACTGTACTTGAATACAATTAGGAATGATTTGTTTACACTGGAGACATGTTAAAATTCCAGTGTCAGTTTTTATGAGTCAGTGGAAGAACTAGCATCGCTTCATGAGTCATAGGACTGGATCTTTTGGGTTTTTTTTGCTTTTCATGCAACTTGTTTGGCTGCTGGATTGAAGTAATACTGAAGGCACTAATACAAAGACTCTGTGGTCCATCACTGTCTCTTCACTTTTAGTTTATTAACTTCAAACAGTGACAGAGTCTTAAGGTCACACACATGTACAAATACTCCAGAATTACACAACAAACAAAACAGGAGGTGGTTGGGCTGGACAAAGGGTGTCCAAAGCTTCACATCAGGGACCAGGGTTACATCTAGACTTCACTGTGTTTATATTTAGGCAACAAAACCACTTTGATTATGGTTAGTCAAAGATCCAGCTGATGAGTATAACTTCCAAACTGGCAGATTTAAATAGATTAGACTTACATTTGAATTACAGATTGAACAAGTCTGTGTGACTACAACCCACAAAAGTTTTAAAGTGTAAGTTCAAGTCCATGCTAGCTAGATAAAGGCTTTGACTGGAAAGCCAGGTACAAAATGAGTTGCACAGTTGATTTTAAAAACAAATTAGATAATTGAAAATTTGCCATGATTAGATCAGATATCCCCAGACATCAAACAAACAAACAAACAAACACGATGATGGCAGAGATGATCTGATTAATCTTTTTAGAGAGAATGGGTTGTGGCCTCCCAGTAGGAGGAGAACGTTTAATGAGGAATTTTGCAAAGTCTATAAGAAGTTATAGAGAGTTGTTTAATTGGTCTCATTTTAATATCTCACTCACTCAGACTTTGAATTCTTTGTGAAGATTTTTTCTTGACCATTCTTCCATCCATCAATCCACCATTTAATCCTCTCTAGGAGGAGGCAGGACAGGTCGCCAGTCTATCGCAGGGCTCCACAGAGAGACAAACAAGCGCACTCACATTAACCTCAGCATGCGGACGAAGGAAGCCGGAGAACATGCAAACTCCACGCAGAAAGATCCCTGGCATCCTAACCGGGAAGCAAACCGGGCATCTTCTAGCTGGGAGGTGACGGTGCTACCCACCAAGCCACCGTGCAGCCCCTTATCTTAAAGGCAAGGACTCATCATCCACAAGTGATTTTTGATTGCATGTTTGACAAAGCTGCCTGACCACCACTGGCACAGTCGTTTTGGTGCCTACATTTGAAAACAAAAGACTCCTAACCTCCAGGTCTTCTTTAGTTTAATAAAGTTTATCATCATCATATAACGACAGATACACATTTTATATAGTCTCATTTATCTGTTAATTCCTAAAAAAGGCACCGGCTTTGATTGTAAAGCATGAGTTGTGTCTGTATTATGCATTCTCGTGGCTCTGACTGCTACAACCCACACAGCTGATTTACTGTGATAAATACAAATTCACTGAGACAAGAGAGCATCGCATGCAGTAGATGAGACATGTCTCTTGTATCTAACACACAGTGACCTTCCTGTGCTCTCACCAACACCTTTGACAGACAACATGTCATCCTTTCGCTTTTATAGCAGCAGCTGATTACTTTTAACGTGCATTTAAGTGCCATTAAAGGTCACCTTTTTTTGAAAGGCCTGTTTTATTATGGCATGTAGGGATGTTTGCTTTGATAATCAAGTGTTTGCTGTAACATAAATACTGAGGTGATGGGATCCTTTTGATAAGCTTTTAGAAAGAACAGGCTTTCATAAAATCCAGATGATTTAAAGCAAATGCATTGCTTCATAAGAACATAAATAATGTACACCTTGACTGACAGGCTGCAGGAAAAAGCTCACAAACTGAATTGAATTCACTCAATAAGCATGAACAAAATACACGTGTTGTTTTTTTTTTCTTGGTTTGTATTTATCGATTTTGATGTATTGAATTTATTTCACATATTTTGACCTACATGTATGCCTCCACACGTCCAAATGTTCGTTGTATGACTCATTGGATGTAAATTATGAGGATAAATCTGTCACTGGTTGAACATTTCACAAAGAAGTGACCTGGATCTATCTGTGTGTTCTATCTGGACACTGACATGTCATCCTATACCTGGATAGGCACCATCCCCCCCATGGCGCTCATCAGGCTAAAGTGAGTATAGTTGGACATAACTGGATGGCTTGATGGATGGACTTTAAAGAAAGAGCAAAAAGAATTATTAAAACGAAATATATTTTTAAAAAACTGTACCGACTGCATTTACACCTGCTCAGATCTGATCACAATGCAAGTCTAAAATCTGTCTGATGCAGAAATGGATCATATGTTAAAATCAAATGTCCATGTGGTGTTTTTATATGCTGGAAGATACATGAGGAGCCAAGCAAGCATTTCCACCTTTAAACTGTGTTGCACCACTGACAATCTGTAAATCACAGATCAGACTCCCTGAGTTTTATACATACCAAACTAGAGGAACCAATCCTGCCACCTTGCAGGATATGGCTATCTTTATCATTGTTCTTCTTCAGAGTCAGTTTCTGGTTCAAACACGTGTCAACATATGACTGGATTGCTCCAGTGTTCCAACTTGCCTTTGTGTTGCTCAGAGTAGTTTTACGGTGCCTGAGCTGAGTCCGAGGGAAGCTGGTGTGCTTGAGCTACAACAAGCAGCAGAAGGGTGAGTGTACAAAGAGGTGGGGTCTTCACAGATCTGCACATTCCAGAGGTATCAACAATGTAGATAGACCTTT